GTATTACAAACATATATCAGTTTTATACCATTTTAACTATCATCGCTTCTCTTCCTGGAAATTATACTTTGGTGAGGGAGCTGAGGGTTCTCAGTCAGAGATTCCGAGACCTTCTCATAGAAATACAGTTCCCTGGGGAGAAGAGGGTAACCATTAAACAAATTTAAGTCTGTGGTGCAGATATGCCTTCCAGTGTCAGTGCTCAGTGGGTGTTCATTGCAACCATGGTGATTTGGTAGTGTTCCATACTCTCTTGTTCTTAGTGGATGCATATGGTTGTTGGTGGATCTGGTCCTAGGAAGTGAGGCATCATCCAACATGAATTTCAGTGCGGAGCATGAGAGCTAGTCATGCTTTTGGCAGAACAAACATCCTGTTTATAAGAACCATCCCCCATGGTTGTGTTTCTTGCTAGACATTTTCTCCTCATCCATGAAGAACTTTTCGGAGATGTGATCATTCATTTGCAAATAGGTTTTTCCTTGTTCTTTAATTAGCCTTGTTCTCATGAGCAGTGTCACAGTCTCTCAAAGCCTAGGAAAGAAAAGCAGAGCTTTTTTGGGGGGGGGTGTGTGTGTGAATAAGCTTGGCTCTTGACCCAGCTCACATATTTTCTAATGTCAGTACCATTGTACAACTAACGTAAATCTTCCATCTTGGGTGATGTTAAGATGCTTCTGTCTGAAGAGAGGTAAGTGCATTTTGAGAAGGAAAAGAATGACATCCATCATTTTGTTCAGGATTTCTGCCCCCGCCTCTTTGAGAGGAGTTAGAGTACTTCATGTCTGAGCTTCATTTCAAGGGGTCTGGCAGTTCCCTATCATCTCTGTATTTGATGAACAGTGTGTAAACTACGTTGTATGCAGGGGTTATTTTGTAGAAAAAGAAGTGCAGGAGCTCATTAGCATAACTCATTAGCATACCTCATTTGCATATGCCACACCCCCTGACATCACCGGAAGTGTGTCAGAAGGCAACACCCACCGCTCAGGCTCCACTGGACTCTTTTGGATTGCTAGCTATTGGGGGACACACACGCAGATCTGCCCTCGCAGAGGAGGAAGAGCTTGTACCTGAATAAATCTTGGTCTTAAAGGTGCCACTGGACTCTTTTGGATTGCTAGCTATAAGGACACACACACGCAGATCTGCCCTCGCAGAGGAGGAAGAGCTTGTACCTCAATAAACCTTGATCTTAAAGGTGCCACTGGACTATTTTGGATTGCTACTTATTGGGGGGGGGGATGCAGAATTATAGTCAACATTCAGTTAAGATGATGTTACCAGTTAACCCATAACAGAGCATAAAAAGCAGCTGTTATTTGGAGTTGTAAATATTTGGGGAACAGCCTTGTTGAAATTAATGCAGAAGAATATGCAGAGCCTTCCTGGAGAGCTGCAGCCTTGCAATGCAGTGAGGTAGACAAGAAAATATGAATTCTCCATTGATAAACACAGGGTTTTCTATCGTCCCATAATATTCTAAAGAAAATGATAACATTACATACAAAATGAAATAGTTGATTAATGCTTCAACCTGTACAACTCAAATATAACATTTTTTTTTTTAAAAAAAACCCCGACTAAAGCTAGGGGACTCACCTACTGGCAGAGAGCCGCCTCCCCCCCCCCAGCCATTCCCTAGCTGGTTTCTGAAGACACCTTTGCCATTTGCCCCCATGCCTCTTTCACCGTGTTGCTAAGGGATCTGGTAATTCTCTCCCCCCCGCCCTTAATAGCCACATGATGCCGCAAATGCGATCTATTGTCTATGGTGCTAATGCGCAGGGGCAGAAGGCGCCGGCATTTGGTGGTTCTGGACACGTGAGGAAAGGGATTGGGGGCACCCTTGGCCCAGGAAGGTAAGGGGGGGTGCCTCTCAACTGGGGAAGGGTGGTGGCAAAGAGAATGCGGCTCTTAGCCATCCAAAGTCCAAGACTTGAGCAAGGGCGATCGGATCCCACAGTGCCAAAGCGCACCCCAATCGGGCATTCCAAGAGATCTTTGGGTGTGATCGCTTCCCATGCATTGCGCTTAGTATTGGCCCCAGAGGAAAGAGAAAAGCAGCAAAAACGGGTGGGGGAAGGGGGGAGAACAGGCTTTACAGGCCGGCTCGCTGGGGGGCTGCCACCAAGGCCAGGTGGAGGAAGAGCCGGGAGGCCAGGCGAGCCATGGCTGGAGGAGCCCAGACGCAGGTAATGGTAATGGCAAGGAGAAGGGAAGGCGCTCCAGCCGAGCCAGCCCCTTCCAGGCTTGCCTCCGCCCTGGGAGAGGGAAAAGGCAGCCGGCGCGCCCAGGCACGGGTGCCTATAGATCTGATAGGCCACCAATACCACGAACGCCGGGGCAGGCTGCAGCTGAAGTGGAGCCTCAGGGCACCGCGGAGGAGGCACCAGCATCACAGCAACTGGGACTGCCCTGCTCATGGCTGTCTCCGTTGGGTGGGCTGCACTGGATGGCCCGCAGGTGACCGGGGAGGGGCGGGTCTGTTTGTTGCCAGAGCGTTGCTCTGGCCTGAAATGAGGCCTGGTTGTATGTAATGTCAAACCATGATTCCGGTGCTACACAAAACAAGCGTTCTGCTCATACATTTTCACTTCCCCATACCATGCTACAATCCAGTTAGTTACTTCCTCTTTGCCATAGTCTTCTGGTATGGTCAAACCATCAAACTATTGTTTGTGCTTGCCCTCTACATTAGGATTGCAATTTGCAATCCACAGTTTGAAGCTGGTTTGCAGCCCTGGTTTGGACAGCAAGCACATGCCACAGACTGACAGTTCAGTGCTGGTGTTTTTACAAAATTCTCTTCCTAGAGAGAAGGCAGATAAAACATACGAGTGGTCTTAAAGAAGGAAAGAGGTACAGGAGGCATTTGCTGATGTAGGGCTTGAAAGAGACGTTGTCACCTGGATCATAGATGATTAGATCTATGCTGTGAGAAGGACCATTATTTATTCCCTAAAGGGAAGGCATTTCTTCTTCATAACCATGTATTTCAGTTTATCAAGCAGGGCCCTCAACCTTCTTCAAGTTGTTGATCAAGGGGCATTCTGTTTTTCTTCTTTTTAGACAGGAAGGATTATTCTTTTCCTTGTGGAAGGAGGAAGAAAAATGAATGATGGTCTAAAAACATAGCTATTAGTTGCATTTGATCCCTGGTCTTTCCTCCATAGTATTTTGCCTTGAGCTACAGGACTAAAGCTAGTCTTGCTTTAAAAATGGGCTGCCTGGGAAGGAATAGTTAACAGAGGTGAAAGTAAAATGGCACAGTTAGATATGCAACAAGACTTTATAGCGCTTCTTCATCAGCCATCCTCAAGCCTTCTACTCGTGCAGAACGGAGCAGTTCCAAACTCGTTTGCAGATTCCTGCACCAGCATCTGTTCCTGTGCTTTTCCAGTCTGATTTGCTCTGTATTAATAAATGAGAGAAACATTACAGTCCCAAGGGAGCAAAAAATCCAGAGAATGAGAACTGTGCCAGAGCTTCTCACCTAGGCATTCTACTAGTTATCTTTGAACTTCATTTGCTACATCATTAGGAATTTTCCCCTTAAAAAAACTGCTAGACTGTGCTCAGTTGGAATGGACAGTGATTTTTTAGAAGTCGATTTTACAAGTTTGGCCATGTGAGAAATTAGGTTGGGTAGGGAAACATTTAACCCTCCCCAGCACAGTAGTATAAGACTTTGCGGCTCACCTAATTCTGAACAAGAGTAATCTAGCACAGTAGGATGGATACTGAATACAGTGGGCAGGGATACACCTGGAGGGTTACAATGGGCAGAATTTTTTTACCTTTTTCTTTTCTAACTTACATGCACACCTCATAGCATGCATACCCTGACTTTAATGTTCTCCAGCATACTCTGTAAGCAGCTGGAGAAAGCCAGTACTCACTCCCCTCCCCCAGGTTATCTGTGGAGTTCCTTGAGAAACTCCTACCTTGTCTGTGGGTGATGTATGATCTAATTTCACTGCTGTACTGATAGGTAAGGGGCCATCAGGTTTGCTATTAGAAGAAGTGACTGTCTCTATTCACTGTTAGGGAGGGACGTTAATACTTCTTGATATTTGATTTGTATGGGAAACCTCCCCCTACATTTAGCAGCAAGAGTCTTGTTGTGTATGGGGCATTTGCTTGCAGCAGTGTAATGATAAGGACTCTTGTCCCACTTCAGTATACTACTTTAAGTACTATGGGAGACCAGTGGATCTTCTTAATTGTTAAAGTTCAAATCTATTCAAATCACCATATGGCCTATATACCGTTAAAAAACCTGATGCAAATTTAATGCCATTATAGTGTTAAAATATGCATACATCAGTGCCATAAAACACATTTCTTTAGTGTTTAGGAAAAAACTCAGCTGTATTCTAAAATTTGGCCTATAAGAAGGGAAGATTTGAGGCTCCATTTCTCAATTCTAGTTTAGTTGCAACCTCATTTATCTTTTTGTTGTTTTATTTATAGTATAATGTAGTAATTACTTAACCTGAAACATTAATGGAGATGAGGACCACAGTCTTGACTTTAAAAATGACGAGTAAGGTAGAGCTTTCAGTAGCTATTAACCATAATACTAAAAGTGAAGCCTCCATGTTAAAGCAGCAAACCAGATACTGGGTACAACTAGCATGTCGTGCTTCCCATGGGTACTATTCGGCTAGATGGATATTCAGTCTGACCCAGCAAGACAGTTGTGTATTAAATAATGTAGGGTGATCCAATGGGATGAAGCAGGTTGGCAATATATTTGGGAAAAGGTTTTTGGAAAGGAGGAGGATGTATTCAAAGTGGCCTAAAAACTGCTCCACCTGACTTGCAAATACACTGCTAGTATTTTAAAACAGGGCTCGATGAACATGTTGCTGGCCATCTTCTGCATGATGTGCAATGTCTGCAGAGAGGGCAGATGAAGGAGTTGCAGCTTGCAGAGCTGCAGCCTAGATGTTGGGAAGTACCTTGCCTAATGTTTCCTTTATGTTCCCTTGCAGTTCGCCTCCATGATAGCATATCTGAGGAAGGCTTCCACTACCTCGTCTTTGATCTGTAAGTAGGAAATCGGTTTTGATCTCATCTGCAGATGTGCCACATTTTTGCACGTGATGCTGTTGCCCAGTTGTTCAGCTGACGGCTCCTGAAATTTCCTTGGAATTTCTTAACTGTTAAATACTTTCTCATGTGTTTCTCTAGAAGAGCACCCTAGCTGTTGCGTCTGTGTGTGCTCTGGGGAACTTTCTTGCTCTTTTGTGTGCTGCTGGGGAGTCGCACAGGCGGAGCTGTGGCATCCTCACTGATGTGGGTGGAAGAAGGCTGCAGCTGCAGTGATGCCTTTGACATGAAGGGGCGGGTGGGGAGGAGGGGAAAGGAGGATATTGGGATGGTGGTGACTCAGTGCCCCTGATAATGTGTCCTGTGTAGCCAAACAGTTGTTTAGCCAGGGATGTGCACACTAAGAAGGCTTAAACCCTCCCATCGGCTTGAGGGCTCCAGACAGTGGTCCTGTTTGCCCCTCTCTTTCCCCCTTCCCTTTGCCACGGGCCACCTCCTGTGCTGACTCTCTTTGCAAAGTGTCTGGGGGCTTTTGGGAGACATTGTGTGCTTTGCTTGGCTGCCTCTCACTTTGTTCCAGATATAGAAGCTGGTGATCTCATATCTCCTCCTCTCTGACAGCTCCAGTTAAGCAGCGAGCTATATTTAGCTCTCCTCTGAGTCAGTGCAGCTCCTGCTTTTTCTGGAGTCACACAGACCTTGGCATGTCCCTGGCCCCGCAGCAGTAGGATCAAAAACAAAAGGCAGGGGGTTTGCCCTGGGGCCACATGGCAAAAGACACCTGAGGTTGAGCTGTGGTTTATGCCAGTCACTGTGTTGTTGCTATGGCTTCAGTAGCTTTTTGTGCGATTGAGCCTCTTGATCCCTTGAAAATCTGGCAATTCCTGATACCTGTAGGATGAAGCTGGGTATTTGGAAGGTTAGGGAGGGCTGCATTTGCCCTGCTCAGAATGAAGGTTGACCTTTTTACTAGCGACATGATGGTGACAGCAATAATGCGGGGGAGGGGGATAGCTAAATCCCTTACAGCTCCCTGTGCTAACCTGTGCTAATACCTGCTCTGTTCTGCATGACAATTTATGTGTTTGCTTATTGGACATGGTCACCTAAAATTTTATGTCATGGGCTTCCTTAGATATTTTTGTTATATGTAAAAACCAGTAAAGGCGGGGCAAGATGCCTCAAAGAGTAATGTTGCAGGTGCTTTTCCCCCCCGTGGAGTTAATTTAGCCAGCGTGGGACATATCCATACATCAGTTTCTTTTGGTCACTTTTATGTCACTTGTATAATAAATGGAAATGCAGGAAGCTGGTAGAAAAAAGTACTTAGGAGTTACCAGTGCTGTAAAAATTCCTGTTTCATTCTGGCCTATACGTACTTTGACACCAGTGTGTGAGAGAGAGAATGCACACTGAATACAAAATTGCTGCCTGGACAAGAATGTCAACATCTGCCTAGCTTCCATCTGGCCCTATTTTTATTGATATATTCTGTGTTGTAAAATGAGTCTCAACAGTGTGATTGTGTTCATGGTAGTGTTTTCTTCTTTAAAATTGCCATACTTTAAGTGCAAAGGTGTCAGAGCTTCCCAAACTTCTTGCTTAGGATGAAAAATACTTTTCAGCTAATGGTTTAGCTCTGTTTACTGGCCATCCCTCATGTTAAGGGCCCTCCTGGATATGGAGTACATTAGAACTGATATCCATCATTAGGCCTCTCAAGCTTGTTCTAAAACCATCTGAAAAATCTGAGAAGCGCAGATGTTCAGCACATCTGGATATTAAGTAGTGTGGCCTTCTGTTTCATCTGAGCACTTCCCAAATTAACCTTTTAAATCACAGGCCTAATCCCACTAGCCATTCCTGTGACAAAAATCTCAATGTTGGAAAGATTTGTGCATGTATCTTATGGGAAACATACCTGTATGTAGAGTTCTTCTCAGATCCTCTTGAACAGACGCACATAACAGATCATCCCTCAATACAATTGCAATCCCTAGAGTGACTTGTCACAACTTTTATCATGACCTGATATCAGAATGTGGAGCATATCCCTGAGTTTTCTTCCATTAGAATTCGCTATTTCAAATTTCAAAATAACTATAGGGGGAAAATCTAGAAGACAGTGAGAGGAGGAAGAGAATTTGAATTATCTTGGGAGTTCTGATCTGCAGACAAATTGCTGCAGATATTTTCGGTGCAGGTAAGAAGGGTGCTGTCAGAGAAGCAGCCGTAACAAAATTTTTATCTGCAGATGTATGAAGTTGTTCTCTTTGCTGTCACATAGGAGACTATGCATGCTCTTCATAGGCAGGCAGCACAGGGGGAAGAAGTGGGTTGCAGCAGGCATTACAGCTGTAGCCCTGTGTGGGTTGGAGAGAGAACAAGATTTAGAACTGCAGTGACAGCATGAAAAGAGCCAGTGCTCAGCTTGGGAAGCCAGGCTAAGCAAATTGTCCTGTGCTTTGGACCCAAGTGCCCTTAGTGTGAGGTTGTCCAGTTGGCAGCATCCACAGGGTTCTCCTGTGAGGACAAGTGAGTATCTTTCCCAATACTTAATTTCTAAAGTAGGAGGAGCCAAGCCTTGAGCTTGTTCGAAAGCCTTTTCTCCAATTCCAAAAGCGGTTACTCAGTGGTGAGGGAAATTTCTGCTCATGATCCTCTTGACCTGTTCCAGAGCTGAACCATGGCAGGTTCTGCAGCTAAGCCCTGGTGATCCCTTGCTCAAATGAAAAGCATGCCCCGGGTTTCCCTTCCCACTTTGGGTTGGGTATGCCTTTCTTTCCTTCCTTTTGTTTGGTTCGATGGCACCTTGTGTGCTGTGCCTCAAAGTCTGCCGTTCTTTAAGTCAAGGATCCTCCATAAGTATTTGAAGTTGATGAGATAGGACTTAATAAAACAAAATAGTCAATGAAACAAAGATACTATAAAGTGTCTCTTCTGGGCCTGTATGGCCAGCCCTCTCCTTTCAAATACGGACTCCATGCACATTACCCTCCCATTTTACCGGATGGTGAGGAGTGCTTTGTATTTGGGCAAAGGAGAACAAGTCTCCCCTCCCCTCCCCTCTTGGCTCAGCAATCTGTCTTCTGTCATGTGGAAGTGACATTTCAAGAGCTTTGTTGCATAATGAGGAAATACAGAATGAAAAGACAATCTTTCCCCTCCTAAGCCCTCAGCGACTTGCCTGTTCACTGGTTTCTCAGATTGCCTCCTTCCCTCTAAATCCTTCAAATACATATTTCCTAGTAAGGCCCATGAAAGAAAATCAGTAGCTACAACTGGAGAATTACATAAGTTTGCAGATACGTGTTGTGTGTATAATATGATTGTGTCCATTCCCTTTTTATTCACCAATATACTCCCTCATTCACAAACAGATGCAACCGGTCACATGCAACCCTTGTATAAACCCATCATTCACATAACAAAGTTGCACATGTACAACTTTGTCAGCTGTACAGTCTAACAACAGGCCAATGGTTTAGTAGTGGTGCCAACCATTGTTCTTACTAAGCTGTGCGTTTGAGCGGACATTCATGAATACAGGAAGCCCTTCTCAGCAACAGTCTGGAGCTGCTCAGGATCTTGCACTGCCCATTTTACTATCACAGCAGTTATATTCTGCTCAGGATGTGAACTGCTCCACTCAGTAGGGAGGAAAATTAGAGGAAACTTTTTAAAAATTATTTATTTATTTAGAGATTTTTATTCCACCCTCCCCAAAGCGGGCTCAGAGCAGATCACAAAAACCAAGTTCAAGACTTGTTACAATAAATATCACATTGAAATCATTAAAACAATAATAAAATGGCACAGGTAGTAGCAACAATTTCATATAAATCTGTTGGGACCACAAAGTGGAGTCAAAAGGGGCCTTTCAGCGGGTTGGTGTCAGGGTTCGATAGTCAGATCACACCACACAGCGCTTCATAAGAAGAATTCTGTTTATTGGCAGTTCATAACTATGACACGTGAACTTCTTTTGTCAGGAATGGCCCAAAGCAGCAGGGCACCCTGAATTATACTAGTTTCAAAACACACACACACACACCCAAGCAAAAGCCAATAAAGCACTGTGCGCGTGCGCGGGGAAAAGAGAGCGGGCAAAGTAGAAGCCGTTTGTTCCCAGCAAGTCAGGAGCAGCTGGAACATCCAAGATCAAAAAAGCAAAAGCAGATAAAACCCAGACAGTAGACTTCGTTAGTGTACCAGGCAGAGGCGAGGAGGATTCCCCCCCCCCCCACATTCCAGAGAATGGCAGTGTTAACTGACAGTTGGGAACTAGAGCAGGGAGGCCAACTGAGATGGACGTCCACCGTTTCACCTGGCAGAACAGTTCCTTTTTGCAGGCCCTGTGGAACGGTAGAAGATCCTGCAGGGCCTACATTGGTGCCAACTCCATTCTTTAAACTTTCCATCAACTCTAGACTTGTACGTTGATGATTTTTTAGAACTTCAGAGCAACTGGAATATTCATAAACATTTCAAGGCACATTTATTGAGCTTTGTCAGCCAATTGCTGTGGAGATTTCGGAGACTGTAGCATGTGTTAAACTCTGCAACAAGAAAGATAAATTGAGATAAATCTGTTGTTGGACACCAGTTGACAAAGTCATTATTTTTCCCCTACAAATCTAACTGTTTTGTGCTTTGATACCTCATTTGACTCCTTGCAGACATAGTTTGAGCTCTGAAAGATTGTTCACAGCTGTCCTGGAATTTGCCAATAGATACCTTACTGACAAGAAGAATATAAACCAGTACAAATGTTGGTATGTGTATCTACCCATCCAGGCCCTTTACCAACCATATGGTTGATACTGCCAACCTTGACAAATAGCCCTTCTGACTAAAATAATACTCAAATACTTATTGCTATTAGACATGCATAAAAGAATCTATGTGTACAGGCAAAGTTTCTTGCTTGAAGTTCTAGAGAATTACACCCCTCACTAGCAGCACTACGTTCATTTGCCAGTATAGGTGCATTCCTTTAGAAACCCCATTGTCTGCCATAACTTTCCTTATTATTTCATCATCGTTTCTTTCAGGATTTTCTCAGTGCCACCTATATTGCCAGCTGTCTCTGTGCATTATAATGTTAAGCTGCGTAAATTATAGAATACGGGAAAAGCAGTTCTTTTGGACATTTGCCAGTAACAAGCATATTCATAGCAGGTCACTTGCAGGGGGTGGGGGATTATATCTCAGGCCGTTCAGGAAATGGCACTAGAAGAATGCCGCAATAAACTCCTCTATACTTTCAGTGCTGCAGCACTTCACTCTCATGGGGGTGTTTCTGAGCAAAATCTCAAATGTAGGGCAAACCTGAGTCTTTGTTGGGAACATTTCTGGAAGTAGCACTAAAAACAAAGGAGTCTTGTGGTCCTTAAAGACTAGCAGACATGTTGTGGATTAGGGCCCACTTCATCAGATGTGTGGTCTCTGTTGTGTTTCAGGGTCACGGGTGGGGAGCTCTTTGAAGATATCGTCGCCAGGGAATACTACAGTGAAGCCGATGCAAGGTGAGTGGTAACTCCACCTCCACCTGTCCCACTCCAACCTTCTTCCTTACCCTCCCCCACCCCTTCTTTCTGTTCCCTGATCCCATGCCAGCTTGTACCTGTGCAACATTAACCCATCCATGACTGGGACGAGGGGTTGGACTCAAAGGTATCACAAGGCTACAGCAAAAATCTGTATCCCTTTGGCACCGGTGGTTGCCACGATGTGCCCCTTTGCCACATCCAGAGCCCCTCCGTGGCTGTTCAGGCTAACCATCTGATTGCAGCACAGGATGGGGCTTCCGAGAAGATAGAATTTTGGCAGGTGCTGCTTGTTACATCGCAGTGCCGTGCATTGAGGAATACTAAAATTCCTTCTTCTACACAAAAGTACAAGAGCTCCTTCCTCTGTTGCATCTGATTGCCCTAACAGAAATCCATTTCAAAATGGACCTTAACCAAGTCAGGCCACCACAGCTCCTTTACTCTAAGGAAAGACTGGCAGGGAGCAGAGATTTGGCTTAAGAGCTAGAGGGCCAGCTGCCTGGCTGGCAGGCTGGCTGAAATGTGAAATGGACTTGAGGCTGAGTATCAAAGACCTGAAGGGACATAGCACTTGCAGGACACAAAGTTACAGAAGCAAAGGTCAGCAGCACATCTTCAGCTTCCTGAACTTGGTTCAGTTTCAGATTTCATTTTTGCCTAGGTTAGGTTTATGAATAATCTCATGGATGCTGTCCTGTTCACTTTAGCTGGGCTGTTTGGGGGCTGTGGGTGAAAGCATGTTCTGCAAATCAATGGAAGAAGAAAAGATTGTAGCAAATCACTTTAGCTCAGTGTCAGACTGGGAAATCTGTAACAGGTTCTTAATAGCATTTTTAAAATACTCACTAGGGTTACCAGATCCAGGTTGGGAAACTCCTGGGGATTTGGGGATGGAGCCTGGGGAGGACAGGGACCTCAGTGGGGTATAATGCCATTGAGTCCACCCTCCAAAGCGTCCATTTTCTCTGAGGGAACTGATCTCTGTAGTCTGGAGATGAGCTGTAATTCTGGGGGACTCCCAGGTCCCACCTGGAGGCTGGCATCCCTAATGCTAACAGAAGCCACAAGGAGCCCTGATTTGAATTGAGACATACAGGGGAGGGGAGATGTAACCCTTATGGTTTCACTAATTGGCACCAAACTGCATGTTGTTAATCTTCTGTAAAGAGAGACGAAATGTGGTCCTTCTTTTCCCTATGAAGACTAATAGCAGCATGGTGGAGAAGAGGGGCTTTGATTATAAAAACTGTGCAAGGGAGAGAATTAATCCAGGTCCCCTACATGGTCACAATTCAGACTGGACCCCCTGCATGGTTTCTGTTGTATTAATAAACACTAGGAAGATCTGTCCATGGATCTCCCTGCGTCTTGTAGATATCTACCCAAAGAATTAGCCCTTGTAGGCAAAGAGCCTTGAAGTGTGAAAGTAGTCAGGTTAATGGGCAGCATCAGCACTGAAGTGCAGGGTGTGAAAAGAATCCAGGACTGGAAGGGTAACTGATGGGGTAGGAGCTCACCATTTGAATTACAAAGGAGTAGTGACTGTGGACTGGGATTGAAGAATATCAGGAAAGCTTGGGAACAAAACCAGCATCTCTCTCATTGCACGAGACTTGCTGAGGGCCGAACTGCCCGAGTAGGAAATGCACTCTGAGGGTGGATTCTTATCGGTGTTGTAGCTGCTGTCTTGTAGCTCTTTCTCAAGGTGCTCTGGAACTATCAGAATGGGGAGAAGTGGGATCATAAGAAAGATCCATCTCAGGGTCAGAGATCATACTGAAGGGAGATTGCTGGCTTTGCTCTTCCTATGTGATCCATTCCCCTCCATTTTCTGCATAGTTCCTCTCTTTCTGCATACTAAAGTGGCATGGGGACAGCAACTGTCCTGTTCCTTTAACATAAGACCCTACTTTGACTTTGAACTTGGTGGCAAGCCAGAGATCTCTTAACTAAAGCTGACTTTCACCCATATGTGACTCCATTGTTTTCACTGTGAGCTGACCAAAGGTGCCTTGCCATAAACCAGAGCGTAATTGGTCGGGACACATTGCCTTTTGTTCATAGATCACCCAAGATGAATGGAATAGAACACCTGAGTTACTGGTGCTGCCAAACATTGCAGCTGGCTGTGGAAAAGGCAGAAGCAGGCAACTATAGTTGTCTGATCACGATAGTATTCTAAAAAGTTGCCCCCAAACACAGTATGCGAATAGTGTTGCATTAGGAAGGGGGAAATGGTATCTTTACTTGCTGGGAAACTCCCTTGGACCAAGGGTTCCCTGGAAAGCAGCTTGGTAACCAGCTGCCATCACTCAAGACCTCCTGAGAACATGTAGACTGACCCACTGAGAAGGCACTCTTCAAACACAGTACTAAAGAAATAACAAAGGGACAGGGTAGAAGCCCTAGAAAATGCCTTATAACCAACTTGGTAGCACCCATGCAGTCCAGCACATGGGGAAGAGATTAAGAGAACTATCCAGAGAAATAAATTGTACTACGTGAAACCAAAAAAAGAGTCTTTATTAAAAAATAAAAAGAGAGGAAAGAAGGGAAAGGGTGGTTGGGTTCAAAAGGTGGTGGAGAAAGGGCAAAAAATCACAATACAGGGAAAGGCATACAGCAACAACAGCACAGAGATGTCCAGATGAAAAGCAGTACAGTTGAACTAAAGCTAAACACACAGTACCTAGGCTGTAGCAGGCTCCTCAGAGCATGTGCAGAGTTCTTTGGAGCAACAAGAAGTTGAAGGGGTCATTAAGCCCAACCCAACTGAAGGCTGAAAACTGAAGAAAAAGGATAATCCCAAATGTCCAGATATTCATGGTAAACGGAATTGGACCTAAGCCAACCTCTTTTCTGAGAGTAACAAGTTGCTTTAGTGAGTCCCATGCAAAGCTCCATCTCTGATGTCAGAGGCTACTGTTACTAATTAGAGCTATATAACCATGAAGCATCTGGTGATGGCTCTGAACATACATGACAAACAGGTGGTCTGGGTCAGGTGGGACTGTCCTTTGTCCAAAAGGGATTAAGTCTGCAAGAATGGTCCAATGTGGAATGGAAGTGAATGGGTCCTTCCAATGAACCCCCCCCCCCCAGGGGTCCAAAATCCCTGACCCTCTAGGTGGCACTCTTGAGACTTAGTAAATTCTAGGGTTCATATTGCAAATAGGACTTAAATAAAATTTGCTAAGCTATATGACCATGTGCCGTGAGAGAATATTGACAGCCTCCCCTTCAGCACAGCAGGGAAACATGGCAAGATGCCTCAACCAAAGATTATTTTTTTTAGCACATTCCTTTTGAGGAAGGGATGCAAGTAGTGGCAGTATTATTCCCAGTACTAGGCATGGGTAGATCTGAGCCAGTTAGAGAGACCACATACAGCTAGAACTAGTAGTATCCACCTCACTAAATGAGAACAACCAAATTCAGTATTTTGAGGGAACTAAGGAATTTACGCAATCCGCTTGTGTACTGAGACAGCGTAGACATGGGCATAATCCCAAATTTGGGGGGGGGCTATAAAGGCTTGCTCAGGGGAGAGGGCCAGGTTACATGGAAATGTGTTTGCTTCAGTGGGCTGAGATGTGGGTGCAACAAGGGTAACCTTTGATATCAGCTGTGACTGATAGTGTATGTCAGTATTTCTCCCCAGATGGCTTAACAAGTGCTACAGAAAGCAGGGAAACGTGGACTTTTTTGTGATGGCGGTGGGCATGTGTTTGAAACAGTGTTAGTATCATTTCTCAATAGCTTGAGAGGAAAGAGGCTAAAGGAGTCCTTGGGCAGGCAATCAGATTTGTATCTTGGGTTTGGTTTCCACTTTCATTCCGTTTTAGCCCCACTGATGTGTGCCCTTCCACCTTCTTTTGGTTCTACAGAGTGTTACTTTGGCTTCCTGTTATTTTAATCTTCCATGTCTTCCGTAACCCCTGAAGTGAAAATGAATGTTGGTCGACTGGGGGAACTTAATGTACTTTGGGACAGACCTTATCCAGCATAGTACGGATACCTTTTATGTTTCTCCCTGCCATGTTGTCATTGATCCTGTCGTTCAAACTCTGTTGGACGCTGAGCTCCATGCATTTGTGTAATAGGACTTTTGCTAGGTGTCTGGATCTCTTCCTGGAATATGGGGCCAAAATCTATCTGTAGGTTTTCATCCTGGGTGCTACCATGGAGACCTAGAAGCACATTTCTTAATTCTCTCTACAGGGAACAAAAAAGTCAGAAAAATGGTTTTGTCAACAAACTGCAGTACTCTGAAAAGGCCTAGAAATTTGTGGGAAAAGATGATGGCAATTTGGAAGCATCACTATGTCCAGGCCTAATGGCATCTGGATCATTTTGTGATACCTGTACTTGTGAGAGGAACGAACTAGAAGGTTGGAATTGGAGGATGTCAGATGAGAGAGGTTAATGTACCACTGGTCTGTGCAGTCTCTCTCCGCCTTAAAATGGATTCTTGCAATAGAGCCCCCAGTTTCAGAGAACTTCCTTACATTTTGGTTGCATTTTTCAGTCCACTCTAGAAGTGGATTCTCAGAACCATATTCTCAGAGCAAGTGGCAGGACCTAAGATGTGTACATGGTTAGGGTTACTTCTTTACAAAGCCATTTTGGTGCCTGAGCATACCTTTCTGGGGTGGGGGTGAGAGTGGGAATGCAACTCTAATGATAACTGAACAAATTGACAATTGGCATTGATACCCTAAAACAGGCCAGTTCACTTCACTCAATCCACCTCAACTTGTCTGATGATTGGGCCAGCCCTGCTCCTTTCCTATAACCAGCAAATATAGGAAGGGTCAGTGTGGAATATCAAATAGTAAAGGGGCTTTAGATCTCTTCAGGGATGGCTAAATGACAGCCACCAAGCAATTGTAATGTAGTCAATAGAACACTGGAGGCTTGTTCCAAATCCTTGCTCAACCATGAAGCTTATGTATGATCATTATGTTTAGATTCTG